GAGAATGACATTTGCATTTGTAAGGAAATTGTTGACACTTTGCTTCCTTGAAACCATGATCTTTTTGAGATTGAAAGCTATGATATACTGTATGAACAACTTTTTCCCTTCCCAAGTGCGGACCCAAAAGTTAATCATTCCGCCACAAGAGACTCAAATGTCATTCTCCCTACTGAGTATTTTAAACAGAACAGTGATTCAGTAGTCTTGTTGAATACTGATTTTAGAAGCAAAAGGAGAGCAAAGAAATGGAGTTTAGGAGTGATTAATTCTTACGTGTGGTAGCATCTGAACTTGCTGAAGATGTCACAATGCCAAGGCTTGCTATAGATTCAAGCAGACCACCATACACAATGCTTTTCAAAATTTCCCATGTTTCTCTACTTCCTGATTCGGTAGCACTCTTGAATAATCATTTTGGAAGCAAAGGGAGAGAAAAGAAATGAAGTTTGAGGTAAGACTAAGTCTTACATGTGGTAGCATCCGAACTTGCTGAAGATGTCACAATGCTAAGGCTTGCTATAGATTCATTCAGACCACCATACACAATGCTTTTCCGAATTTCCCATGTCGTGCTATTTCCTGATTCCTGACCTACATCTGTTCGTGTCGTCGTAGGTAATGTTGTGCTCCGAGGAACTGCTGTTCCAGGAACACACTACATCATTTCATTGCAATATATTAAGAGAGCATAATTTTTAAGTTGTGAAGTAGTCATAATCAGATACGATTGCAGGATTGATTGGTGAAAAATGTCAAAACAATTGATAGATGCCAAACCTGAGATTCTGTCATCAACTTTAACCTCTTCGAGCTGCAGCGGTTGTCTGCTCCTTGATGCATCCTGGTCATGTTCATCTGGTGGGATTTCACCGCAGATATTTGAAGAATCTGGCAATTTGATATATCAATCGAGATTACTTCCTAGATATGCAGACCATGTGAAAAAAGTAATGACTAGAAATGAGAACAGTACTGTAGAAAACGAGAAAGACTACTAGTTCTCCGTGAATAGAGAATGATTTCCTAGGCTCTATCGTTCCTACATATGACACTGAACAAAAATTAAATTCTTTGGTAACATAGTTCATGAACATTAAACGACCAGGACTTATTCTTCAAAAATAAATGCGGACCTCTGGTTTTATGATCTTCTTCTTCATTGGATGCTTCATTTGCTTCGTCATTCATCACGCGATGAGGTTGCAGGATTTGTTTTCCTGAATCAGCTCCAGTTTTAACTTGATCAGGACCCTGAGCTGTAATTTCTCGTGCAGCTTTAGTTCTTTCATCACTCAGTTCTTCCTGAGAGTGATCTGGTGACTGTTGAACTCCTATATGCATTGATTTTCAATAGCAAAAGTAGACAATAATGTATCATTCTAGCATCAGGAAGATGTATTAAGTGGTAGATACTGTTACAAAAGCATCATACAGAGAGGAGACCATCTCTTAATCTCAATTCAAATGATAAATTAGAATTGTAGACAACTTGTTATTAACACTTTTCAGAGGGTAAGATCATTGAAGAAATCATCAAATATGCATGTGAATTGCCAAGTTAGATGCATTAAGGAAATACTTCACCTTGACTGGTTGACACTTCATTGCCATGTGCCCGCCCAGCGAAGAGCCAGCTACCTGTCGATAAACGCAGAGGAATTTTTAACCCAAGTCATATTGAATATCAGCATGTTGATAACTGATGAGCATCTGACTATATTCAAATCTAGTTGCAAATCAATGGTTCCTTGACAGCCCAGGGTCTTGTTTAGATTCATGATGAATAAACACGTTCATGTAAGCCAGGACAAAACTTCTCTTACATGTTTACCTTGTATTCCATAAATCATAATTAAAAAACTATTTATAAGCCAGTTCAAACAAGCTCTAAAGGAATAGTACTTTTATATCATGTTAAAAAGGAACCAGTGCTATATATGTGTATATATGCGATTAAACTTAAGTCAATTTGCTTATATTCATTATATCACTTTCATAGGTGAATTTTCAGCTGCATATACGCATCTTAACAAGTAACAATGGCAAAATAACATGTGCAACTGAAAAACTTGACCTAATATATTACCTCTGGTGCTTAATATAAGAGTTCGTTTGATTTCTATTTTGGTCCTAAATATAAGACCTCAATCCACTTTGTCTCTCATATTTATCCATTTTTTTTAAGGTAGTCCTTATAATAATGGTAGTTTAAGCCAATACACTTGATTAGTAAAGACATTTTTAGAAAGACAACACATGTTTATTACAAATAATTAATGTAACTAATTTTCTTAATCTACTCAAATTAATCAACTAGTTTTTATATTAAGGACCGGAGGTAGTATATAAGTAACTTGTAACTTGACTAAAGTTTTATCTATGTAGACACACACACACACACACAGAGGCAGTCATCTGAATTTTGTTCAAGTCAAATAAGATTTTACCTATTGGGATGAGGAAACTGAAGCAGGATGAGCATCTGAATGTATCAGGCGATGAAGGAGGTTGTGCAGGGAGACTCGTTTCTTCCACGGGTGGATCCAAAAGTAAGACCTTCTGGATACAAGCTTTAAAATTGGGACAATAGAATCCCTGTGTGGTTGGCTTCTGATATAGACTTTCCAAACATAGTTCCTTCTCTGGCTGAACATTCTCTGCTACTATTATGCCAACTTTCTCACTTTCATTTGTCACATAGTTAAGAGACGTAGAATCCACAAGAATTTCAGAATCTGAAGGACGTAAAGTTGTGTTCTTCTTACTGACACCAGAATTTAGTTCCGTTCGAGAGAACTCTTGTTCTTCAATCAGTCTATCTTTCAGTGTTTGCTCAGTAGCTGAAACTCAAGCTCACAGAACTTCACTACCATAATAAGGATCATAAATCAAATGTTGCATATAAACTGACAATTTTTTTTTGCCTGTTTGAAAAAAGAAAGATACTAAATTTGATGCGGTTCATGATTAAAAACAAGCAGAGGAAACAGAGAGCCTGAAGTTACAAAAACTTAAAGCTCAAGGAGCCAAATTTAGACTTGCGAGTTATTAACAATCACAACCATTACGTACCATAATTAAAGGTACATACGAATAAACTTCCATGAGCTTTTAGGTACATACGGATAACTTTCAACTATCAATTATATACCTCCTTAAGCTTTAATGTTATGTGTGTATAACTTCTTAAAATTTGATTGATATATAGATAATTCCCCTAAACTTTAAACTGTGTACGAATAAGTGATATACAAAATTAGCCGTATGAGAGTTATCTATATAAAGGTAAGAGTTTAGAGAGGTTCATTGTAAAGTTTCAAATTTCATGGAGGCTATTTATGCATGGTCCAAAGTTCAAGGAGAGTTATCTATATCATATTAAAGTATTTGAACTTTCACTTGCTTCTTGTGTCAAAGAAAATGGTAAATATGTTGATTTTTACGTACCTTGTGTTTTAACACTCATGACCACGGTAGCTTGCCGTTCAATCAAACCTATTTCTTCAATTTCCTCCTCTTCCTTCCATTGACTCATTGCGCCTTCCATTCTTCACTCTTCACATCCCAAAGCAAAAGATTAGCTTTTGCTGTTATGTTTTGTTTTTAAGCAAAGTTTAGTCTAGAAGTAATGCGTCAAAGTGGATTTATAAAGGATACTAACCACTCAGAAATTTGTTGTTTAAAGGCCAAAATTAGGGGGGGGGGGAGATTGTGAAGGAAGGCATTGAATAAGCTAAAAGCATAAATGAGGAGAGTGTAAATGGACGAAGAGCCTAACTGTAAACGTTATGTTAGGTACAAGTGAGCTAGGGAGAATGGAAAGGGAAAAGATGATGAGATTAGGGTAATGCAAAGTTTGGTACAAGCTACAAAGGAATTAATATTCATCTCCCATTCCCTTTCTTTGAAATTTGGCTCCTCCATTATTAATGACAGGGAAACTTAGTACAAAGACTTATTTGCCCCTATTTATTTATATAATTCATTCCATCAACAAAATATTAATGATAATTTATTAAATTGTTATTATATATTTTCTTTCACCATCGTGTTTCTAGAAATATTTTTACTTTATTTAAAGCATACCAAACAAGATTTTAAGTAGTGTCCTTTCATTTTGATTCTCATTCTTTTAATATTGTTTCCAATATGCACAATAGTATAGAACGAGTGGACTTCTAAGTTCTAAATGCATGCAACACTTTGGATGGGATGATTGAGAAATGAATATATTACTATTTTTTAAAAAAATTTATAAGGACTTTTTTGCACTAAAACTTATGGTAACTCGGTAATAGAAAATTGTAGAATGAAAACAAATAAAAAGGAAAATGTTCAACAATGACTAGAAATAATAATCATGAGAGTATTTTTTTTTGACAGAATAATATCATTTTTATTTTCAAATCTGCTTCCTCTTGTTGGTTCCTGTGTCCTTGCACTGATTTATCCTCTAAATTTGCAGATATATATCCGATTTTCATCGTATAGTTGGTATTTTTGCATGTCTATCTATTATGTCTAAAATCATCATGATGTCCCTTTTTTGTATTTTGCAATACTCGAGCCAACTTATTCATATCGCAATTAATCCACTTTTTCTAATCAAAGGCAAGTTATCAATTAATTGAGTGCGCACGGAAACAGTAATCAAATATTGACCATGTGGCCTGATTACTCAGATTCCAATTTGATGCAGGACAAGAAAGGAACCTATAATAAAGGGGAAAAAAGGAACAAAATTCTAGAGGATTAAATGTAATTCGATATTCAATAATCAATAGTAACAATGACATGAATTAATCTGGCTCGTGGTCAAAACTATATAAAGATAAATTTCAGCCTGCAAGGCTTTATTCAAATCCCTAACCAAATCCCACATAATGAACACTTTGTGACAGAACAGACAAAACACAGAGCAATGAGACTTCAAAACCAGAAGAATTGGCGTGGTATTCTCTTAAAATGAACTTTAAAGCACTTAGTTTTGATCCTTGTTAGTAAGATCCAAATCTGGGTTTCTCTACACTCATCTCAGGAAGAAGCAGGGTAAAACTCGAGCGTTTGGTGTCAAACCATCCAAGCTTTTCAATGAGTTCCTTAACTAGTTCACCAGCTAAGTAAGAAACTACTGAAGTCAAAGCCCCAGTGCTGAGATAATGAAGCACTGTTTTGAGATATGTATTTGGCCTCTGGATGTATGCCTTACCAATTGAAAGAAGAGTGATGCAAATTGCAGAAGCTCCTGCAACTGCTGCTAGCTTCAGATCCTTATTGTTGCTCTCAGTGAATGTGAAGGCATATACCACAGGTGGCACCAACCCAAATATGATGAATGATAATATGGCTATGAACACATGAAGATAGAAATGTTCTCTCTTCCCCAAGACCTGATAATATCGATCCACACGTGCATTTGTTTCATTGCTTGTTCTTGGTTGCTCAGATTTCAAGTCCCAGATCTGTCAGTGCAAGAGTTAGTTTCAAATTTAAGAAAGATTATACGCTGCCTTCAGTCTTAAATGTAAGAACTAGTACATAGATTTGTTTTGATTATAAATATAATATTTCAATTCATTTTGCCTTCCAAATTTCTCTGTTAATTGCTTATATTAAGAAGGTTTTCTATCAAGGGAGTAGTTTCCAATGCAAATGATTAAAAGGAATACTTCAGGAAAGCCAACATAGTTTTATGAATAACTAACTTAACCAATTATTTTATTTTATTTTTATTGATCATTTTTCTAGTTCATATATTTAGGATTAGAGGCGTTATATAATTATACTAACTTCCTGAGTTCTGATCAAGTGGCACTCAATACCTCTCTCATTTCTAAAGTTACACCTGACTCTCCTGACATTTTGATACACATTGCCAATTCAAATAAATGTCCATATAGGTCCAATTTATTTGTATTACATTGTTAGAAAAGCAAAATAAATGTTGGAAGAAACTCACGTTATGAACGAGGATGAAAAGTCCACCAATCAAGTTTGCAAGAGACAGAACTAGAATGTTCACTGCAAATTCAGATCGGAGAGTACAAGAATACCATTAGCTCTATGAATTAACCAGCATTAAGTTCTTTGTCGAAGTAATAGGCAGATTCAACAAATAATCTGCCACTTTGAAATACAAATACTTAAAGCAATTAGGAAATGTTAAATATGCCATCTGAACTGTGAAATGTCATTTTTACGTAAAATTGGTATTTTAATCATTTAAACTTCATCTCTTGTTTTAAAAAGTTAGTTGGTTTATAAGTCGTTCAAACCTCAAGGCAGGGCAGAAATCAAAGTGAAGAACCTTTGGTTGTTGCAGCTGAATTCTGCCAATTGAACCAACCTTTTTTTAATGATATTTTAGCCTTCTAGAATTGGGAGAATTGTAGTTAATATTTAATATTTAATATTTAGTGAATATCTACTCCCACGATCCTAGGCAGATTAGGAGATCAGATTTAAATTTAAATTACTCCTAGATTAATTGCGTGATCCTCTGTAATCTCCTTCTATCTCAGTTTATCTCTTTTCCTTATATATATCCGATGTACAGTGCACTCTGAATAATAGATCAATATTACTCTGTATACCACGTCTTCATGGTATCAGAGCCGGCCGACGTCCATCCATCGTCGAGTCCGGCAGGTTCCTCTCATTCCTCCTCTACATCGGAGGACGTACAAGCTGGGTCGAACTCCAGGCAACGACCGACCACGATGGACCCCCCTGGTGGATCGCCTACGAACAACTCTGTCTCGGCCGGTAATTCCTCAGCGTCTACGGTCAGTTTCGATGCCTCCTCCATCACCCTCGTGTCGGAAAAACTTACCGGCAGTAATTATAGAGAGTGGGCTCAAGCAATGCGGTTGGCTATTGGAGGTCGCGGAAGGCTCGGGTTGATCACAGGAGAGTCGACCGCACCCAGTGATCCCAAGTCCTCGGAGATGCAGAGATGGCTCACGGATAACTCACTCGTTTGCTCCTGGTTGATTAATGCAATGTCACCTACACTTAAACGGAGTTTTATGTACTTGCCGACTGCCAAAGAGATATGGGATGCTGTTCGTGAATCCTACTCTGATGGTGAGGACCTCGCGCAGCTCTATGATCTCAAGACTAGAATTTGGAACATCAAACAAGGGTCTCGCAGCGTCACCGATTACTGGTTGGAGCTTGTCGGATTATGGCAAGAGTTGGATATGATCACCGAGGAAGAATGGACGTCATCCGCTGACGCTGCATGACACAAAAACACTGTTGAGAAAGAACGTGTGTTTCAGTTTCTCGCCGGCTTGAATCCTGACTTTGATGACCTTCGCAGTCGTATTCTCAGCCGTGCATCACTACCTAGCACTCGTGAGGCGTTCTCTGAAGTCCGCCGTGAAGCATCACGTCGTAATATTATGCTAACCCCAACATCTATCTCTGACTCCTCTGCTCTTATCAGTAAAGGGGCGCCCTCGTCATCCTCCACGAAGGGTAAAATCACTTGTGATCACTGTAAAAAAACGGGTCACACTCGTGAACGTTGTTGGGACATCCATGGCAAACCAGCTGATTGGAAACCTCGAAAGGGTAAGCCTCGAGGCTATCAGGTATCACCAGAAACCTCCCAATCTTCTGATTCTCTTCCAGCCTTGTCGAATGAGCAAATGCATCAACTACTTATTGCTCTTAAAGGTCTCCCAGCACGGCAACCTTCCCCTGCTGCGTCGACCTCCGTAGCTCATACAGGTACTCCTCCTTTCGCTTTTCACACCTCCTTCACATCCAACAAATGGATAGTTGACACTGGTGCTACTGACCATATGACCTCGGATGCTCACATGTTTGTTACCTATTTTCCCTGTGCTGGTAATGATAATATCACCACTGCTAACGGTACTGGTTCTCCCATTGCTGGAAAAGGCTCGGTTACTATTTCAGATTCCCTACATCTCAATTCTGTCTTACATGTCCCTCATCTGGCTTGTAACCTTCTTTCTGTTAGCAAGATAACTAAACATGCCAATTGTAGTGTTTATTTTTTTCCCACTTACTGTATTTTTCAGGATCTCTCATCGGGGAAGATGATTGGCATAGCTAGGGAGCATGATGGACTCTATTATCTAGACGTCTCTACTGTGACTGCCTTGTGTTCACGAATCAATGGTCTTGTCTCTACTTCTGACAATAATGATATTTTATTATGGCATAAACGGATGGGTCATCCCAGTTTTTCTTATTTGCAACGTTTGTTTCCTCATTTTTCCATTAATAAAAATTTCCATTTACATTGTGATTCTTGTACATTTGCAAAACACCACCGTACACCCTTCCCACCATCCCAATACAAACCCACTCGTCCATTTTCTATAATTCACAGTGATGTTTGGGGTCCATCTCGTATTTCAAACCGTACCCACTCAAAATGGTTTGTAACCTTTATTGACGATCATACACGAATGACTTGGGTCTACTTACTAAAAGAAAAATCTGCTGTTCCTACTGTCTTTATGGAATTTTTTCGACTTGTCCAAAATCAGTTTAACACCACGATTCAGGTTTTATACACAGATAATGGCACTGAGTTTTTTAATCATCAGCTTGACTCTTTTCTAAAAAGCAATGGCATTGTCCACAATAGCTCTTGTCCTCATAGTCCACAACAAAACGGTGTTGCTGAAAGAAAAAATCGACATCTGCTTGAGGTTGCCCGTGCACTCCTGTTCACAAGTAATGTACCTAAATATTTTTGGGGGGATGCTGTTCTAACGGCCACTCATTTAATCAATCGAATGCCAAGTCGTGTTCTCTCTTTTGTCTCTCCCTTAGACAAACTATGCGAAACTCACCCCATCACTCATCTTGATCACCACCTTCCGCTTCGTGTTTTTGGTTGTTCTGTCTTCGTTCATCTTCATCACCCTTCTTCTAAACTTGACCCACGTGCTGTTAAGTGTCTTTTCTTGGGATACTCATCAAGTCAGAAAGGCTATAAGTGCTATGATCCTACTTCTAAACGTCTCTTTATTAGTCGTGATGTCTCCTTTTATGAGCATGAACCGTACTTTCCCACTTCTTCAATTCAGGGGGAGAGTTGGAATGAATTTCAGTGTGTAGAAAGCATACCTGAGCCCATACCCCCAATGCAGCCTACAGAGTCTGTGACGTCCGTGACACCTATTCCTATCCCTCCAAACATTGCACAAGTGCCAAAGACAGGGGGAGATAAGACCAGTGAAAAATATAGCAAGGTGTACACACGGAGAGATAAAGAAACTATAGAGTCCAACATGCCCAGAGCTCTGCCAGAATCGGACCAAATGAAAGATCCTGGAACCACTGAGGAGGACCTACCTATTGCTCTGAGGAAGAAGGCTCGTTCGTGTACTAAGCATCCTATCCAAAAGTATGTATCTTATACCACTCTATCTCCTGATTATTGTGCTTTTACCACTAAACTTGATGAAATCAGAATACCTAACAATGTACATGAGGCACTTGATCATCCTGAGTGGAAGAAGGCAGTACTAGAAGAGATAACGGCATTAGAAAAGAATGAAACTTGGGAAGTGGTTAATCTACCAAAAGGGAAGAAAGCAGTGGGTTGTAAGTGGGTCTTTACCCCGAAATACAATGCAGATGGAACACTCAATAAGTTTAAGGCACGACTGGTAGCTAGGGGGTTCACTCAGACCTATGGGCTAGACTACACTGAAACTTTTGCTCCAGTGGCAAAATTAAATACAATCCGAGTTCTGTTATCTATTGCAGCCAACTTGGATTGGCCATTACAACAACTAGATATTAAGAATGCGTTTCTTAATGGAGAATTAAAAGAAGAAGTCTATATGACACTTCCTCCAGGATTTGACAAGGGGAAGCAAAATCAAGTCTGCAAGCTAAAAAAAATCTTTGTATGGCTTAAAACAGTCCCCCAGGGCTTGGTTCGACAGATTCTCTAAAGTACTGAAGGTTGAGGGCTATAGACAAAGTCTGTTAGATCACACAATGTTTGTCAAGAAGAATGGAGCACTGAAGGCAATTCTTATTGTCTACGTAGATGACATTATTCTCACAGGTGATGATGTAACCGAGATAAACAGAATAAAGACAGCTTTAGACCGAGAATTTGAGGTCAAAGATCTAGGAAAACTGAGGTATTTCCTTGGAATGGAGGTTGCACGTTCAAAGAAGGGAATTTATGTCTCACAACGAAAGTATGTTCTCGATTTACTATGGGAAACAGGTATGCTGGGATGCAGGCCAATAAAAACACCAATGAGTGTCAAGAAGGGAAGCATCAACAGGTGTAATAAGAAAGCAACTACCAAAGAAGAGGTTGAGAAAGAAAAGAAGCAACGAAAAGATGAGGAACCTGTGGATATTGGGAGGTACCAAAGACTAGTAGGGAAGTTAATCTACTTGTCTCATACTAGACCTGATATTGCCTTTGTAGTAAGTGTAGCAAGTCAACATATGCACTCACCCAGAAAGAAACACATGGATGCAGCCTATAGAATTTTGAAATACTTGAAAGGAACACCAGGTAGAGGACTCTTCTTTAAGAAATGTGAATCCAGAACAGTGGAAATTTACACAGATGCAGATTGGGCAGGTGCTCCCGAGGACAGTAGATCCACATCTGGCTATTGTACCTTTGTGTGGGGCAATCTAGTAACATGGCAGAGTAAAAAGCAGAATGTTGTGTCTAAAAGTAGTGCAGAATCAGAATTAAGGGCACTAGCTCAAGGTATCATGGAGGGTCTCTGGTTGGAAAGAGTAGCAGAGGAGGCTCAAGTTCAGATCAACAAGCCAATGAAACTATTTTGTGACAACAAAGCAGCCATAAACATGGCTCTAAATCCAGTACAACATAGCAGAACTAAGCATGTTGAGGTTGACCGACACTTCATCAGAGAAAAAGTGGAAAATGGAATTGTATGTTTGTCCTATGTGACCTCAAAGCAACAACTTGCAGACATTCTCACAAAGGGGCTTCCTGAAGAATTGTTCGAGAACTTTATAGGCAAGTTGGACATGATTAGCATCTATGATCCAACTTGAGGGGGAGTGTAGTTAATATTTAATATTTAATATTTAGTGAATATCTACTCCCACGATCCTAGGCAGATTAGGAGATCAGATTTAAATTTAAATTACTCCTAGATTAATTGCGTGATCCTCTGTAATCTCCTTCTATCTCAGTTTATCTCTTTTCCTTATATATATCCGATGTACAGTGCACTCTGAATAATAGATCAATATTACTCTGTATACCACGTCTTCAAGAATGACATTTGCATCCTTTGTAAGGAAATTGTTGAGACTTTGCTCCTTTGAAACCATGATCTTTTTGAGATTAAAAGCTATGATATACTGTATGAACAACCTTTTTCCCTTCCCAAGTGCGGACCCAAAAGTTAATAATTCCGCTACAAGAGGCTCAAATGTCATTCTCCCTACTGAGTATTTTAAACAGAACAGAGATTCAGTAGTCTTGTTGAATACTGATTTTAGAAGCAAAAGGAGAGCAAAGAAATGGAGTTTAGGAGTGATTAATTCTTACGTGTGGTAGCATCTGAACTTGCTGAAGATGTCACAATGCCAAGGCTTGCTATAGATTCAAGCAGACCACCATACACAATGCTTTTCAATATTTCCCATGTTTCTCTACTTCCTGATTCCGGAACTACACCTGTTTCTGGTGTTGTAGTTATTGTGGTTCTCGGAGGAAGTTCTGTTCAATGAATACACCACATCATTTCATTGCAAGTTAATAGAGTGCATAATTCCTAATTTGTAAAACATTCATAATAATATGATTTGATTTCAGGATTGAATTGTGAAGAGAGTAAAAAAAATCGACAGATGCCACACAGCAAAATCCACTTCTAATAAGAATAAATCCTTTCTTGCACTTTAAGCAACTAATATGAACCACTTTTATTTATATTTTGAAATTTTATTCCTCCCCTCCTTATTCTTCTTTGAACTAAAGTTAACATGATGGATCCTATATGTGCAAGGTGTGAATTTTTTTTTTTTTTTTAATGTCCTCACAGTATGACAATTGTTCCAAGGAAAATGTGCTTTAAATATGTTCAGTTTATTCTCTCTCTCTTTTTTTTCGGTGAAAAGTTTATCTTTTTATTATGCTCATTGTTACCCTGTTTTCTAATTTAGAGATCTTTGCTATCTCTTTTAACTTTATCATAATCTGTGCCTTCTCTGTAGAACCGTTTTTGGATCACTTCAATTTTTAACTCCATCATAATCTATGCAGCCTGTAATACGTGATCAAAATACAGTATTTCTTTGCTTAAAATACATAATATACCATATTATGCCTCCAACATATCATAGCCAGCAAGAATTTAACTTTCATTCAATTATCTATTCTGTATAGGAATCCATATCATAATATTAACCCATAAGATAAATTCATCAGCTGGTGAGGATTCTTGCAAAACCATAGTGCCAGATGATATATTCATATTTTACTTGCATGGAAAGATGTTATTTATTCTACAAACCTGTGCTTCCTTCATCAACTTTAACCTCTTCAAGCTGCGGTGGCTGTTCTGATTTTTCTGGAATAACAATTTTATCTTTTTTCTTCGTGAAAAAGGATGAAGCACCAAATGAAAGTCCCCAGCGTGAATTTTTGCTTTTTGATCCATCCTGTCCACGCTCATCTCGTGGGATTTCACTGGGGAGATTTGGCGAATCTGGCAATTTGATATTATATTCAGGATTACTAAGATAGGGATCATATGAAAAATAGTCCATGGTTGATGCAAGATTTGTGACTATTTTGGAATGGGATGTAATTTTGGGAACAATAGAGTAGAAAGAAATAACTAGCAATGAGACAAGTACTTGAAAAACAATAAAGACTTTACTAGTTCCCCTACGTATAGAGGATGATTTCCTAGGTTTTATTATTCTTGCATACTCTCATGTTGAAGAAAAAAATTCTTAAGTAACATAGTTCGCGAAAATCAAATGCCCATGAATTAGTCTTCAATATCTAACATGTAGGTCCCACCCACATGTGAAGATTGAATTCTGTTCATTGCATGCACATTCATTATATAGTACTTAATGATGTCTTGGCATTAAATTCTGCTACTAGCTTTCTGCATTTAACCAAAAACAAGTAAATAAGAAAAAAGACTGCCCTCACCGCTGGTTTTATGATCGTCTTCATTAGATGCTTGATCTGCTCCATCATGCTTGGCTTGTTCAGGCTGCGAGATTATTTTTCCTGAATCAGCTGCAGTATTAACTTCATCCAGGGCTTGACCTGTAATTTGTCGTGTCTGAGGGGCCTGAACTGGAATTTTTTCTGTAACTTCAGCTCTTTGATCACTCAGTTTTCCGTTTCCCTTTGAGTGACCTGTTGGCTGTTGCACACCTACATTGATTTCAATGGCAAAGGTAGAGGATAAGCATTTGTGAGATGCAATAAGCAGTAGATACTGTTAAAAGATCATCATACAGAAGGAGACCATCCTTTAATCTCAACTCAAATGATATGCCAGAATTAATGAATTGAAGGATGGGTGACCTCATCACTGGACCAATTTATTTAATATTTAAGGCTGCAGAGCAAAATAAGCGATGGGACATGACTTGTCCTTCACAATCCAAATCCAAATGAGAGTTCACTCTGATCCTTTGGTGAAGATAGCATTGGTGGGAACTTGGTAAATATCTTGCTATCAATTATTAAACTTCAGTTCCAGTAATCAAATTATGTTCCATGTTTGTAACATGTATAAATGGTTGTGTTGCCTGATGCTAACATTCTAAAATCCATGGACACCCCATCAACACTGTTCAGATGTTGAGCTCATTCAAGAAATCAAATAAGTGCATGTAAATTGCCCAATGAGTTAAATAGATTCAGGAAATACTTCACCTTGAATAGGTGATACTTCGTCTTGTACCCACCGTGGGAAGAGCCAACTACCTGTTGAAAAATGCAGAAGAATTGTAACTTCAAGTTATATTGAATAGAGTGATGAGCAGCTGACTGTATTCAATCTTGGCTGCAAATAATCAGTTCCTTGATAGCCTAATGGGGCAGCAGATGTTAAAAAGGGCAGCCCAATGCAGAAGTGGTGTATGATGAGGGATAAATGTGCACAGCCGTATCTCCACAAGCGGAGAGACCGTTTTCAGAATCTGAATTTGTAACCTCCAGGTCACATGGCAGCAACCTTACTATTGCTTCGAGGCTTACCTTCTTATTTATGTGCACAGATGTAATCCTGTTAAAAATGAAAAGGTGCTATATATATGTGTGTGCAAGTATCTGAATTTTTTAAAGTGAAACTAGATTTTACCTATTGGAATGAGGAAGCTGAAGCATGATGAGCATCTGATTGGATCAGGTGGTGAAGGACGTTGTTCAGGAGCACTTATTTCTTGCTGGACTGTATCCAAAAGTAAAACCTTCTGGATACAAACCTTACAATTGGGACAATAGAATCCCTGTGTGGGTGTCTTCTGATATAGACTTTCCAAATATAGTTCCTTCCTTAGCCGCAAATTCTCTGTTATTATGCCAACTCTCTCACTTTCAGTTCTCACACTACTAAAGAAAGTAGAGTCCACAGAAATTACAGGATCTAAAGGATGGAGATTTGTCTTCTTCTCGATCTCACCAGAATTCCCTTCCCTTTGAATGAACTCTTCTCCTTCATTTTTCTGTCCGGAAGATCCTTCTGTTTGATCAGCAGCTGAAACCATGCATTATATGAACTTTGTTAACTATATATTAGAAAAAGAGGAAATGTGGCTTTGGTGTCCTTGAGAAAAATTTCTCAACTATTTGGTTCATAAACGTCACAAATTCTCGATTTAATATGTGAAAGATGTCTATTGGTAAGAAAAATCCATCAAAGATGCATGCTTCAGGTGTTCATTTCATCCTTGAGTATGAAAACAATATTCAGGTAACAGTTTTGGGGTCAAGCATGCTTAGAAGAACTACAAGAACAAGCAGGAGAAGCCTTGATAAGTGGGAAAACTGAAGCACACAGATCTTCATCATCACCATAATAAAGATCATATCAAACCAAATGTTGGAGATAAACTAATTGACTTTTTTCCTTGCGTGAAACAACTACTAAATCTGTTATTCCTGCAGGATCATAAAACAAGAACAAGCAGAAGAAGCACGGAGTCTGAAACTACAAAAACTTAAAGCTTAAGGAGGCAAATCTAGACTTACTAAAGCTTATATTCAGAATCACAACCATTAAATATTGAAGATCAAGTGTTTGAATGTTTGCTTTTGCCAAAGAAACTGCTAAATATGTTGAATGTAACGTACCTTGTACATCAAACTTCGAAGTAGTAATGGTGGTGCTTGTGACGTGCATGTGAGCCTGGCGTTTAACTAAACCCCCTTCTTCAACCTCTGGCTCTTCCTCCTCCTTCCATTGCTTCATTACGCCTTCCATTTCTTCACTCCTCAAAACAAAAGAAAAAGTTCAGCACAGAAGTAATGCTTCAAAGTCAATTTATAAGGGGAATGCAATATAGTCCTTGTTACTCGGTCAGAATTTTGTTTTGAAAAAACAAAAAGAAAAGAGAATTTATTGTGTGAGTGGAAGGTACAAGTCTTGAACAAGTGTTAGAATCATAAATGTGAAGTGTGTAAAAGGTACAGAGCAGTAACTGTTAAAAATTCTCCTGGAAGACAAAGAAGAAGTGGGCCCACAGGATCCTGTGCAAGTGCAATTGATAAATTCAGAGAGTTTCATGTTAAATTTTTAAAATTGGCTATGGATTCTTTTTCATGTATTTACATTATTAGATGGTTAATTACAGGGAAATGACTATTTGAGGGTTAAGGATGAAAAAAAAATTTATTTTTTGGCATCGAAAAATTATGTCTTCTGATTTTATTTCTTATGCTTGGTCAATTTTTGAGAATGTACGATGTTCATAGGAGTTTTAGAGAAAAATGAATAAGGCCAAAAATTAAGAGTCGATTTTATGTGTTCACAACACAGGTATTGTTACTAGCTGTGTGTTCTATATAATATTAGATTTGCTTGGATTTGTGGCCACTTGTTTAATATTCACTTGGGATTAGAATAAACCTTTGACTAGTATTTGAAGATAGAAAAACTTGATTTATTTATGTAATAGAAATATATTTATTGGCCTCACATAATTGCATTAGACATAAGTAGTTTAATAATTAATCATCTAAGAAAATTAGGGTCCATTAAATAGGATGCCTATTATCGGTTTGATAGATGTTATCATATGATTGAGAGCCTTAGGCTAGCATGCTATAAACGTTAATTAAAACTAAGAGAAAGCAGACCTATGCTAACTGCTAAGTTTAGTTGTCACTCTAGTTGTCATAAGGAAAATAGGGTTATTAATTATTAATAATCATAATTGTCACTCTAGTTGTCAAAATCAATGTTAACACAAACCATAATTTAGTTCAGTTTTTATTTTATTTCACTTCAAATAATTGACTTGCTTCTAATTAGCCTTGAATTAAGTAAAATATTGATGTTTATACTCAATCATATTGCATTGCTAGCATCAAAAGCTTATAAGATCAATACTGTATTAAATACTTTTTTTTTAATAAAATAGTATCCAACATTCTAATTTTAGTTTTCAGATGCATCTAGTATCGTTATCTTATTTATGGTGCATCAAGTACTTTAATATTATTCTTCTTGTTCATCTAGCATGCTAATGTTATTTTTCTAGTTATATCCTGCATCATAATCTTATTTATAGTTTAGAGTGCTATATGCATTATAAATAAAATTAGGGTGCTGAATGCAAAAAATATATATAGATATATATATTTATACATATATTAGAGTGCATAATACCACTTTACCCTGTTTTTTTTTTTTGAAACAGATACTATGTTTAGTACTTTATTACTACCTCCGGTTCTAATTATAAGGTCCACTTGACTAATTTGAGGAGATTAAGGAAAGAAGTTAAGTTAGTTATTTGTAATAAATATGTGTTGTCTTTCCTAAAATATTCTTACTAATCAACTATATTAGCTAGAACTATAATTATTAGAAGGACTACCTTGGAAAAAATGCATAAATATGAGAGACAAAGTGGATTGGGGTCTTATATTTAGAACTAAAATAAAAGTCAAATAGGATCTTATATTAAGGACCGGAGGTAGTACTTGATAAGATTTGAATGCTTAGACTTTATATATAAACTATAAAGTAAGTATATAACTAGTTGATCAATATTTATTCTATTTTGTTAGGGTTGCATGCAGTCAGTACAGGTGTTTGCTTCTCCAAAAATATGTTCATAAGGTATTTCTGGGTTTCTCATAAACATGCCTAAACTTAAAATATTAGCAATGTTACACCTCATCAATTTTTCATTGCTAACGCATATACAATATGCTAGGATCTTCTAAAGTCAAGTTTGGTTTTGGTGAAGCTAGTTACATTATTGTTCAATTAAAAAATGAGGGGGGATTGTAAATAAGAGTATTTTTAAAAATACTAATTAAAACTCTGCCTGACCAATACAAACACTAAGCTGTCTATTCAGGGAGAGTTTGATAAATCCAAAATCAGTACTTTCATACAAATTAAAATAAAATTTTCTCATATATTTATCTCGAACTCTACAAAATTATTTTTTAAAAATCTAATCCAAATATCCCATTAATTGATTAATTTTCAAAATTAATTTAATTAATTTCCAAAATAGACTTGGAAGTTCATGCGTACCAAAATCTCCTTGTTCCACGTGCTTGAGCTAACTTGTTTTATACTTTATTTAGATTTCAGAGATTAAAAGATAGAAAAGTTCATCATAAAACAGTTTTCCCCACAAAGGCAAAACAAGACCAAGGCGCAATCTTGGATATGTTAATCTAAAGCAAGTATGAACACATTAACTATATCATTTAATTATCCGAAAACAACGACAGATAGACACACATTAATTGTTCTTCCTGAATCACCTTGGCTGTCTAAAAGTACTGATATTATTTATTAGACACTTTTAGTATGGTTCATATATATATTAAGAAAAAACTTAAATTTCATTAACTTTCATTTAAAATTTAATAATTTTTCAATTTTATCTATTTTAATATACATTATACCTCATGTAAATAAAATCAACATACTAATAAATGAATGGTAAAATTATACATACATACAAAAAATTTCTCTCATTGCCCTATAAATAGGACAAAAAAATATCTTTTCTTTTCCGTATAAATAGGACCAGAGAAGTATTTAAATACTAGTTGTACACAAATTAAATTAAAAAAAATTTACCTTCCATCCTTAATATAAGACTTATTAACTATGTTGATTAGATTAATAAAGTTAGGTAAGTTAGTTAATTATAAAAAATGTGACATGTTTTTCCTAAAACACCATAATCATCTTTCTTAATACTTCTTCTCCCCCTTTACTTGATTATAGTTGAGAAGTATTCGTAGGGATAGTTTAGAGAAAATTGATAAATATAAAAAGTGGATCTTATATTTAGGATCAAAATCAACTTAACAATTGGGTCCTATATTAAGGATCGGAAGATTATTATTTATTCATTTTTACATCAAATTCATTTAAGAACAGCTAAGTACCGACTTGTCATTAATGTGTTCGTGAAACACGTGTTCAGTTAAAAGGATAAATAACTGCGTATGCCTCCACATACACATTCTTATTACTATTTGTATTATTAAAATTACAGAAGAGGCTTCACTTTTTTTTTTTTTAATTTTTACAAGAGATTTGATATATAGCAATAAAGAAAAATCATAAGAGGGAGGAAAGAGCCTTCATCAGAATAATCCATAAATTAAATAAAACATGTCTTTGATGGCCAAAATAAATAAATAAACACACGTAAACACGTCCCTCCCATAATTCCTTCAATGTTCGTGTTCCGCCAAGAGAAAATCCATCACATGAGCATTATATCATTACACCATGAAGACAACCTGTCATAATATGGCCATATATATATATATATATATATATATATATTGTCAAAGGATTTATGAAAATTTATAAAACAGCTAATATTTTGTTCTTAATAAATATTGGACTAAATAAATGGAAACCGATCTTGACGTATCTGCCCAGGTTTAAACAATTTATGTAATCGGATGTTATATTTGATGCTTTTGTTTAAAATCTATTAAATGTGGTTTAAAAATTCTGTGTTAATGTTATTGTTACATAAAAATGTTGGTTGGGTTTGAGCATAGAAATAAAAATCAACACCTAACTATTCGACGGGTAGGCTTAAGATAAGTTTAATAAAAAGGTTAGTTTCTAAAATGTGATAAATCAATGTTCAAATTTTTAATAAGAATATGGCCACGTTTAGTACTTAATAGTACTTCAAATAGAATTATCCTTTAATAAAAAAAACATGTGCTTAGCCAAAAAAAAAAGTTGATGCCACTCTGATGTAAAACCAGAGAGCAAAAAGAGAAAATGAAAGAGAAGGGAACAAAATTCACAAGGCTCAATTGCTAATTCAATAATATTCAACAATCAAAGACTACCAATCCTAATTTGCCCAATTCCTATGTAGAATTAAATCTTAGCCTAAAAGAATTAAATCCCTAATTAAAACCTAAGCTCCCTCATTGCTTCAAGTTACAATCAATCTCTATTCCATGAAGTATCCATGCTTGTCAGTAGGATCCAAATCTAGGCTTCTCAGTTATACTCATCTCAGGCAGCGTCAAGGTAAAACCGAGTGAGCTTTCTGAGCCAAATCCAAGCTTCTCCAGAAGTTTCCTTATAAGAACACCAGCCAAGTAAGAAAGTACAGAACTCAGAGCTCCAGTGCTGAGATAGTAAATCACTGTTTTGAGATATGTGAGATAACTATTTGGCCTCTGAATGTAAGTTTTTGCAATGGACAGTAGTGATGCATATTACAGAAGCTCCGGCAACAGCCACAAGGGTCAGATCCTTATTGTTGATCTCATAGAAGGTCAAGCCATACACTAATGGTGGCACTATCCCAAATATGATGAATGATAGTGTGGCTATGAACACATGAAGATAGAATTCTCCCTCTTCCCTAGAGAAAGATAGTATCGATCCACAAGTTCATTTGTGCCTTGTTGCTCGATTTCAGGTCCCACATCTGTAAATCCATGTGTAAGTTTCAATGGCAGCAAGCTTTTTTTTTTTTTTTTTGCAGCACATGAAGTGTGAACTGAACTATCATGGCTTTATATTTTATATCAAATCTTGACATATTGAGTAATATTGATAATTTCAAAGTAAATGTGGGTTTTGAAATAAACTCACATGATGAACAAGGATGAAAAGTCCTCCGATCAGGTTTGCAAGAGATAGAGCCAGAATGCTCACTGCCAATAAATTTGGTGGATAGAAGAATATCGTTAGATCAAAGTAATATGCAAATATGACTCTAATAATACCTATTACTTTGTTGTATGTTCATTAAAACCTCTGACAATTTTTAACTATGCTATCTAAGTGGTGAACTGGTTATTTATGCTTAAATTTTCATTTTGATCCCTCAAATTTATGAATTGTTTCACTCTAGTGCCCCAATTTTGTTTCGTGCTAAACTAATTTTTTAATTTTATATTCTTATATATGCTCTAACATACCATTCCGTTTAAATGACACTAATTTAGCATATCATAACCTACAAGAATAGAGATATGGTACAAATTAAAAGCTAAAGGCACTAATTTAATGAGATTATGTGGCCAAGTGGCCATGATACTGATTTAACCAAAAAAAGTAACTTTGCAGGCTTAATGATGATATGCAGTAGTTCCTTTCGGTAATATGCATGCTGATACAATAAAATCTTTAGTGATCAAATTTCATGACTTATTTAAAGCCGAAAAATATTTTAGAGTTAGATTTGTTACAACAAGACAGATTAAGAATCAAAATTAAGACCCTTTGACACCTCTTCAGGATATTGGATTATTTCAAACAGAATACTAATCCAATAGTCTTATTAAAAATAATTTCAGAAGCAAAAGAAAGGGAGAACAAAGAAATGAAGAAAGATTTAAGTCTTACATGTTGTAGCATCTGCACTTGCTGAAGATGCCACAATGCTAAGGCTTGCAATAGATTCAATCAGACCACCGTACACTATGCTTTTCGGAATATCCCATGTCTTTCCGCTTCCTGGTTCTTGAACTGCACCTGCTGTAGTTGTAGAAGCCGATGTTGTACTTCCTAGGGGCTCTGTTCAATGAATACGCCTCATCACTTCATTGCAATATATCACAGTGCCAGAATTTCTAAGATGCAAAATAATGAACATAAGACATGATTTTTAGGATTGAATTGTAAAGAAGGTCAAAATCATTGGGTACTGATAGATTGTTAACAGAAGCATCCACTAGAAGCAACAGAAGCCATAATAATGTAGCTTCCTTAGACTCTATGTAAAGTATGAGCCCTACAATCTAGTTTACTCAGAAACCATTTTAACTAGAGGGACATGCTAGGGTCTGAGGGATACACTGAAGAAGGACCACATTTCATGTGTTGGGCAATGTACAAAAAGGTGGAAAAATGGTTTTTGGTTGTACTCAGAAAGAATGACTCCTAACTGTTGCAAGTTAAATGCCCTTAAAATATGTGCGCTTTATCTTCTATTAAATTCATTGTACCGTGTTTTCGTTTTCCAAGATCCCTTCTATCTCATTCAAAATATGTGAAGTCCATGATTTAGGCTTAAGCACATTTTTAAATCACTTTCATTTTTTTATCCTTAGTGTTCTGTTGAATTAAGAACTATTATCATGAACATGAAATCTTTAAGTGTTTGAAAATATCATGATGGCAGCAATGTTTTTATTCATACCTGTGCTTACCCCGACATCTGCAGCCTCGTCAATTGGTTTTTGTTGTTCTGGAATTTTTGAAATATCTACTTGAGGTTTTTTTGGTATAGCAATCGCTGAAGCACTAGCCAAAAGTCCCCACTGTGAAGGTTTGGCTCTAGATCCATCTGGGCCTTGTTCACCTTCTGGGACATCAATAATTTGATGTGATAGATCTGGCAATTTGACGCTGCTTTAGAGATTACTTCAAAAATATGCAGATCATGTGAAAAATAGTCTATGACTGGTAAAAGACTTGTGATACCGCTATACAGTATATAATTTTGATAAAAACTCAACAGAGTAAAAATACGGTCAGGCTATCTGCTATTACACTCGTTGAACCCATGTTTTCTTATTTCCAGATCTCTCCTATCTCATTTACTCTCACTAAGTCCATGATTTAGGCTTCAGAACATTTTTAGATCACTTTCATTTTTTTATCTTCAGTATTGTCTGTTAAATGAGAAATTATTTTCATGAATAAGAAGACTTAAACATTTGAATATGCCATAATGCCAAAAGTACTATTCTGTATACCTGTGCTTGCTCCATCTACCCCATTCTCGGCTGGTCGCCGTTCTGGAATTTTTGAAATATCAACTTCAGGTTTTTTCTGTACAGCAATGGCTGAAGCACTAGCCAAAACTCCCCAACGTGAAGGTTTGGTTCTAGATCCATCTGGGCCTTGTTCATCTTCTGGAAATTTGAGATATTTTAGAGATTATTTCCCAGATATGCAGATTATGTGAAAAAATAGTTGATGACTGATGAAGGACTTGTGATTGTCTCGTATATAATTTTGAAAAAGCTCAAGAGAGTAGAAGTTAGGAAGGAGAAAAAGAAAATGTTTATTAATTCCTATAAGTTCATGATTTACTAAGCTATAATTATTCTCACATCACATTGAATGAAAAATTCTTAAGTGACACATAGAATGGCTATGATTAGTCTTTATAGTTTGACATGAGCGGAGTGTATGTACAAAGATGAAGCCTTCTTCTCTTCTCGGTTTTCTCTCTACTTCAAACCCCATAAAGCCATTGCATATAAATGTACCATATGGTACTTAGTATGGTCTTTTTGGTGAACTTGATTAACCGTTTGAGATATCCAAAACAATTAAACAAAGAAAGGACTACGCTTACCTTGAGTTTTATGTGCACCATCAGTGATTATTGGTTCAGGTTGCAACATTTGACTTCCTGAATGAGGGGAACTTCTTCTGGGGGTGGAACCTTAGTTTTTGGTGCATCTTCAGTTACTTCTGTTGGAAAAATAATAGAATATTGAAGACAACAATGCATGAAGTGTGATGAGCTTACTCTTCTAAACAATAATTGCCTTTATAGATATATTCCTAAGATTCAATAAGCTCTTCCATTTTATGATAAGCAATAGGAATCCACAGCTAATGATTTTAAGATAACCCAGAAAATAAAATGGAATAAAAAGACAGTGTATCCTTTTCCCCATTGTCACAGCCAGCAATGGACATAATATTGACCTCAATATATAGGTGAAGGAAAAATAGGAGAGAAAGAGGTAGCAGTGCAAAATAAAGAGATGTCTAAAATTTAGGTAGGTCAATATTTGGATTATCTTAATAAGCACTTGGATTGATTTTAGATTTTAGGAATCAAGATTGATCCAAAAGCCAAAAGTTGAGTCGGAAAGGTTCTCCAAACTAACTTTAGCACTTGTACATTGATTTCACTGGCAGGGTAAATGAAGACATCTTAGTTCAGCGTCAAGGAGATTAACTATCAGCTATTAAACTTCTGTTTAATGGTTAATATCCTTAATGATAACTCCCAAAATCCTAGGGTGCCCCAGAAACAGTATAGAGATGTTAAGCTCATTCAAGAAGCCAAACAAGTGTTCTGTTGTATGTATAAGCATCCATTATAAAAACAGACTCATAAAACAGCTTACCTTCTTTGTCACGCACCAACCAAGGAAGGACCCAACTACCTGTCCAAAATGTAGAAGAATTTTTTTTTTTTCAACTTATGCTCATATCAATGTAAGTAAATATAAAATCCCATAACAGGTGCTTATATTCTGTGCAATGCACCAGATGTTGAATATTTCACCTATTGGGATGAGAAAACTGAAGCATGTTGAGCATCTGAATCTTTCAAATTGTGGATGAGATTGTGCAGGAGTATCAGGTTCTTCCCTTACTGGATCCAAAATCAAACTTTCTGGATGCAAGCCCGACAATTAGGACATAGAATCCTTGTGTGGGTGGCTTCAGATATAGACTTTCCAGATATAGTTCTTTGGCTAATTGAATATTCTCTGTTATTACGCTTACTACTCTTTCACTTTCAACCGCCACATTCTTGGGAAGAGTTGCATCCCTGTAAATAATAGGATCAGAGGAGGGTAAAGTTATGTTTTTTTCTTCTCAATGTCACTGAAACTGGAACCGTCCTTGGTTTCAGAAATTTCTTGCCCTGCATTACATGACCTTTATTAAATATAAAGAACTGTAAAGAGTCCTCCTAAATCTGATTGGTCCTCGAACCATAAAGGCAAAACAGAAATTCATTTTTGTAAGTAGAAAATAAAAGAGGAACCCACTTTTTTCAGTTTGAATGGTCACATTCTTGGGAGGAGTTGAATCCCCAGGAATAATAGGATCAGAGGAAGGTGAAGTCGTGTCCTTCTTCTCAATGCCACCGGAATCGTCCTTTGTTTCAGAAATCTCTTGCCCTGTATTGTATGAATTTTATTGAATAAGGAACTATGAGAAGTCCTCCGAAATCTGATGTTCCTTGAACCATAAAAAGCAAAACAGAAACTCCTTTTTGATTTCATAAAAGCCAACTTGTTAATCATCTTAACAAAGAGCATAAACCAAATGTGTTGCAGATAAACTCTTTGAATTTCTGCTTGTGATGTTTCTGCAGGAGGAGAACAAATAGGAAAAACAGTATGCAACTGGAAAAAGCGTAAGGTCGAAAAATTTTAGAAAGATGAATATTTTGTAAGGGAAGCCAATGAACGGCAAATTTATTAGCTTGCTAGAGCTCTCAATGTGATTTTATTTGTTTTTGTAGGGTTCTTCACAAACCTTCTCAGTTAGAACTTAAAAGCTAAGAAGAAGAAGAAGAAATTTTACTATTGGACTCAGGACTACTAAATACTGAAGATAAAACTGGGTGAAAAAAAAAAAAAAGAAGCATGTTGATCGTTGCATGGCAAGAAAAAACGAATTTTGGAAGACAAATTTTATCTTACATTTCAAAAAAAAAAAATGAAAAAAAAAAAAAGAGATATATTTATATGTTCCAAAAATGGATATTTATTTATTAATCCATAGACATTGAATGTAGCGCACCTTGGATATGAATATCTGAACCAGTAAAGGTGGTGACTTGCTCGTGAGCTTGTCGTCTGACTAAGCCCACTTCTTCCCACTTCTTCTTCAACTCTCTTCTTCTGCTTCTGCCTCCTCCTTCCACTGCTTCAGCAAGCCCTCCATTCTTCACACTCTTCACACACCAACTGAGAAAGGTAAATCTATTATTTATATAGAGCCATGAGTCAACTCACGAAAACATGACAACATTAATTAAAATATATAGTATGGATTCTAACAAGAAATATATATATATATAATATATATATATATATATGATATGGAGGACATGTTCCTCGTGTTTAAGATTAACCATTTTCAAACCAAAAAACAAAAATAAATACTTTGTCTGTACTGTCTATTGTGTGAATGGAAGCTGTCCAGCAGGAGGAAGCTAGAGCTCGATGTTCAGAGGCTTTGATGTTGAATTTGAAAGTTTGGTGATCATAAATGATAATGACCTTCGCACTGACCAGAGAGAGCATCAGCACAGTACTCTAATGGCGACAATTCTTGTTTTAATAGCTTTTTCTTTTTTCTCTCTACTGAACCAGATTCAGAATCAGCTTTAGAGATTCTCCCAATTTTATGAGATAAAGAAAATAAAGGATACAGAGCCATGTAGGAACAAGGATGGATTTTAAAAGACAACATTTGAGGGTACAGGACCCCATATAAGGATGGATTGCAGTTTTTGTCTTTAATTGATTAGAAGCATTCACCCAACGGCTATGTGATTAAGTAATACTCTCGGGACATGAAAGTTCATATGAGCTTGTTTGAATTTATGTTTGTAAAGTAACTTTTACAAATTGAAGTTGAGATAATATCAATTAGTGTAAGATAATTTATTTTTGGATATACTTTTATATAAAAAAATTAATTCCAGAAAGTTCAATTCTTCAACCAAAAAAAAAGGCCAAAAACAACTAGAAGTCAACAAAAATTCTTCCAATTTTACCATGACTTTTGGTCTAAAAGTCATTTTGCTCAAAAGGTAATCCAACAAATTATTTTTGACTTGGGCTTCATGAGCTTCTTGTTTCTTAAGGTGACTTTT